TCTTCTATTCCATTTACGGAATAAGAGCATCAGCATATTAATGGTATGCTACAAGAATTAAAAAGAGTTGGAGAAGTTCAGCAACCTGTCTAAAATGTTGAAACCCCTAAAACAGATAACTCCAGACCTGAATCACCAGGACCGACATTTTCTGATGTCGAATATGATCCCTAAAATGTTAATGTTATTGAGGTTAAAACATTTCAATTAAATTATGAAAAAATTGAAGCCGATTTTAACTCAGATCATAATAAAGAAATTAGGGAATGGTTCCTAAATAAATGAACGGAGAGATCACGACTATATATTAAAGAAAAATATATTGAAGCCATGAATAAGGTTCAAGGAAACATGTTCTTTTTCAGGTGGTTTGGAGAAAGGTTTATCAAAAAACATAAGTTAACCTTTCCATTCGAATATATAAACAAAAACTATGTTAAAAAATCTCCTGAGATTGACACACTAAATTCTGTATATAATAATTACAAAACATCAAAAGGAGAAATATAATCAAGGCATCCTCCGGAAGACATTATCCTAGATGTCAAAGGGATTATTGATGCCCCTTACAAAAAAACTTCTGATAACCCTAATATGGAAGGTCTTAAATCTATTATAGAACAAAATAATTACACTAACCTCTATCTTAAATCCATAGGAGAACAAGCCGATAGAATAGAGAATTTAGTATCTAAAAAAGATACTTTTGACAAACCATCTTCATCTAAACCTATACCAACCCAGGTAGACCTACTGTCCCTTAAGTGTTTAAACCCTCACATGAATTTCTTAATAATAGATTTAAATTGCAACCTTTGGGCTGAAAATTTCTTGATGAAGTTATTTCTAGACTAGGAAATCTAAAATTAGATGAAAAGAGAAAATCCCTAGAAAAAATTCCTGAGACTTCTAATAATATGATTGAAGATATTACTAATGATGGCTCTGAGAAAGACATTGAAAGTTTAGAAGAAGTTTTAAGCAAGCTAAAAATGAGCCTGTTGAAATCAACAAAGTTGGTTATGGAATTAAAACCAGGCCTACGGTTCCTACAAAAATGTATTATCCAAGGCCTTCTCCTGTTGACATTCAACATGAAGAAGATATCCTAATGGGATATGTCATGTATGATGATAAGGCAATAGTAGAATGGAATCTTGATACTCTGAGTAAATATCAAATGCTTACCCTGCTTAGACATATGATGATGTATGCCATTGTTAGCATAAATAATGGAAATCAAGATCCAGATGTGGCTAAAGCAATCATAGTAAGATTTACAGGACAGTTGAGTAGGTTGGTGGGATTAATTATCTCATTCGAAACAGAGAAAAATTCATATA